GACAGTCAGGGCTAGAGAAACCTTGTCTCGAAAAACAAGTACAACAAAACCAGAACCGGTGACTGGTGGATCCCTTGTCCACTCCTGGAAGGTCTGGACAGCAATTCCCTGCAGCACCTTAAGCCGTGAGCCTGACCTGGGTCTGAACCTTTCTAGGGTTTCTGTGCTGATCATCCACCTGGAGCCTTAGGCTGTGAGGAGCAGTGGGCAGCATCTCAACAAGAAGAATCAGATTCTTCAGGCTTCTCACATAGACCAAAGACCATCAGCTCACGGGGAATCCTCCAGGCCTTCAATGTTGGATTGGGATGGCTGGGGCAGTCAGCCTTGGGGAATGAGCAACTATCTGCTCCTTGCCCTTTCCAGTGTGAGTCAGCCATTGTGTTGGAACTACTCTGGCCATTTCATGTAAATCAGTCTAATAAATCCTCTTTTAGCTGGGCGGTGGTGGCACATTCCTTTAATCCCAGCACTCGGGAGACAGAGGCAGGCGGATCTCTGGGAGTTCAAGGCCAGCTTGGTCTACAGAGTGAGTTCCAGGACTGGCTCCATAACTACTGAGAAACCCTGCCTCAAAAATAAAAAATCCCCTTTTAATATATATATTTATACATACAAATTTAATTAATTTAATATATATACAAATATAATGTATAGAACTATAACATATGTTGTATATTATATGTATTATACATACAGTATATACCATACAATATATTGCATAATATATTACACATGTGATATTACACATTATATAATAGATATTTGTATATGATACATATAAATATATTAATATATAATTAATTATAATATAAAGACGAATTAATATGTATTCAATATATATTAAAAGAGGATGTATTATACTGTATATTATATTTACTGTTATATTTGTACACATTATATATATAAATATATATATTTCTATTGGTTCTGTCTTTAAGGCCCTAATAGTTGTGCTGAGATAGATCATCTGGTAAAGTACTTCCTTGCAAATCCAAGGGCCTGAGTTTTATCCCCAGAACTCATTTTAGAAAAAACCAGGTGCAGTGGCCTATGTCTGTATTCCCAGCACTGGGGCAGATCCCTGGGGTTTAGTGGCCCAGTCAGCCAAACCTGCTTGACCAGCTCCAGACTGGGAAGTGAGCATAAAGTGTTTTTAAGCCCTTGATCTCCCCATTATGTTTAAAATAATAAAAAAAAATACCCTCATGTCCCACCTTTGCATCTCACCCCTAAGGACACCAGGATCTATTGGACCAGGCCAGATACCACAGCACTTAACTGATGTGGGATTTCCCTCTGTATGCTGTGATTACCATTGATTAATAAAGAACTGCTTTAAGCCTAGAGCAGGGCAGAACAGAGGTAGGTGGGGAAAACTAAACTGAATGCTGGGAGAAAGAAGGCAGAGTCAGTGAGATGCCATACAGAGGAGTAAAACGAGCTGCCAGCTGGAAACTTGCCATAGGCCACGAGCCTCATGGTAAAATATAAAATAATAGAAATGTGCTAATTTAATATGTAAGAACTTTCTAGGAATATGCTATCGTGATTGGCCAAACAGTGGTTTAATTAATACAGTTTCTGTGTGGTTATTTCGGGAGTCTGGGCAGCCAGGAAACTAACAAGCAGCCTCCTATAGCACTGAACCTCCTGAGAACCCTTGGTTACCTTCTCATTGAGGGCCGCCACCTGGTCTCTGCTATTCCAGAATCGTTTTGAGGGACACAAGGGAATCTCATTCTTGCCTCATCGTTACTGACCTCTTACTGTCTGTTCTGGGTTGGAGCACAGCCACCACCGGCCTCTCCCTGACCCGTGCCCGGCCCTGGCTTTTGCCGAGGTTCTCTGTTGTCTCTGGGGAAGACAGCTCCTGGTCATCTGCCTCTCTGGCAAAGGAGCATCTGGGCCCCTCCCTCAGCATTGCAATGAGGCAGCACTGTGTCTGTGTCACTGTGGCTGCCTAGGATCTGAGTCTGCACTAGCCACATCCTGTGCTCTCCTTCTTCCACTTTCAAGGCTTGTCACTCTTTAATGACTATCCAGTCTGTTCCCTGACGGCCCTCCTGGAGCTGGGACTGAAAACACATTTTGTTGTTCTTGTTGGCAGTGCTTGGGATTGAGCCCAAGGCCTTGTGCCAGTGAGCTACGCTCCAGTCTCTGAGACTAAAAAGGACTGAGTTTCTGACTTGGGGAGGGAGAGAAGAGGAGAGCCTCTGGAGAGATGTCCTGTGATGGCAGGTGCTCTCCATCCTTAAAGGAGAGCCATGTCTACTAGAGCATGGGATTGGGTGTTTCCAACAGCACCCAGCTGGATCTCAGCACCCTCACTCATCAGGTCTGACGGGTCTGGAAAGCCTTGGCTGTGTCTGCAGGTAAAGGATGTACACAGGTTTTTTTGGACCTGCCACTGCCTAGTGAGGAAATCCCAGTCCTCTTCTGAGGCTACTGATGGCGTCAATGGCTTTGGTAAAGCCTTTGCTCCCTACGTGGCTCACACTTGGATGCAGGTGGTTAGGATGTAGACAGTTACTTTGGAAGGGAATCCAAGCAGAAAGCCAGATAGGGAAAGAGATCACTGTCTGCCCATGGAAGGACTCACTTCCTCCCTTTTGAAGGTTAATTGAGTTCTGCTCTGAGGAGATTCCAGTGCAGTGGTCAGCCTGCTATATCCCTAAGGAAATCAGCCAAAACTCCTCTCCTGAGAGGCTGAGACAGCTGTGCGGAGGCTGATACTCCCAGCAGGAATAATGGACATTCCAAGCAACTGCACAGACCAGCAAGCCGGGCACACAAGCAGAGCCTTAACAAATCATAGACATGGGGCCTGAGCTTATCGGTGGGCAGTTGTAAAAACAGAGGCTAGAGAAGCAGATGGATGGCTATCAGAGAATGAGTACTGGCTGTCAGGCTCCTCCTAAATCCACAGGAGTCCTCCAGGTAAGTCTCCTGCTAATGATGCGGCTAACCCAGCACAAGGGGCCAGCTGGCACATCCACTACTTGGTGTTTCAACGAGAGTGTGTTCCCAGTATCATTTTTCCTGGACAAGTACTATTTACGGGCATTGTTAACAGTCAGGGGTCTAGGCCAGGAAGATGGGTAAGTGGATAAAAGCTCTGTCACACACAGGCTTCCTGACAACCTGAGTTGAGGTTCAACCTCTAGAACCCACAAAAAGGAGTGAGAGACCCAATTCCACAAAGTGGTCCTTGGGGTTCTACATTCCCCTCTCCAATCATATGCACATAGTAAATTTATTAAAAATAACCTGGGGCATGGGATGTTATAGCTCGTTGGTTGCTGGGCAGGCATGTGTGAGTCTCTGAGTGACTCAATCCTCTCAGCACCACACCTTAAAAAAAGTATCGATGCTTTAACCTATTGGTAAATGAATTCACTTCCCTTACATCCCTGAAGTTTCTCCTGGAATTAGCTATTGTGGTGGCTAATCATGGTTGTCAACTTGACACATCTGGGAAGAAGGCATCTCAATTGAAAAGTGGCTTCTGCCAGGTGGTGGTAGTACACGCCTTTAACCCCAGCATTTGGGAAGCAGAGGCAAGGGAATCTTTGAGTTTGAGACCAGTCTGGTCTATATAGTATAGCAAGTTCCAAGACAGCTAAGGCTTCACAGAGAAACCCTTGTCTTAGAAAAACAAAAGGAATAAAAAAAAGTTGCTTCCATTGGATTGGTTTAATAGCAACGTCTGTTGAGCACGTTCTTGGTTGCTAATTGCTGTAGGAGGGTCCCACAGGCTGGGGAGCATGGGCTGTAGGAAACACAACTGAACAAGCCAGTAAGCAGTGGCTTACTGCTTGAAAGTTTCTGCTTTCAACTCTTGCTTCCGAATTTGATGATGGACTATAACCTGTACCTGAAAGCTAAAACACACCCTTTCCTCCCCAGGTTGCTTTGGTCATGGTGTTTATTGCAGCAACAGCAACAGAAAACAGCCTAGGATAGAAGCCTTTTTTTTTTTTTTAATTTAACTTTATGTGTGTTGGTGTGGTGTCAGATCCCCTGGAACTGGAGTTACAGACAGTTGTGAGCTGCCATGTGGGTGCTGGGAAACAAATGCGGGTCCTCTGGAAGAACACCTAGTGCTCTCAACCACTGAGCCATTTCTCCAGCCCCTAGGATAGTACCTTTAAAGGGCTGAATGGACACCAAGTCCCTGACAGGGGTGACTGGATTTAGAGGTATCTCAGCTTTGCAGTAAACCATGTGAACTCCAGAAAATAGACGCACGCTATACACATACTTGACATTTAAGTAACAGAGTGGCTGAGAGGCTAGTAGTGGCTCTGCATATAGAACTCAGTATGAGGTTGTTTCTGACTGCACTGCTGCTGAGACACACAGCACTCCACAGCACAACGTTGACCTTACATACGAGCATCATTAAGGCTTTCAGGCTCCCAAAGCAGAGAACTCTAAGATTTTCATTTGCAGCATAAGTGGCCCACCAGCTACCTGGCAGGACATACCACGGTCGCCAGTAGGGCTGGATACGCACATGAGCCTCCCAGATTAACAGTGGGGCTGGATACCGACAATGAGCACCCCCAAATTTCCACTTTTTCCATCTTCCCAGTGTCAGACATTCCCTGGGCACTGTGGTCTTTACCTTAGATACGAAATCAGAAACAGGGATAAAAGGTAGCATGGTCTTGTAAACCTCAGAGCTAGGGAAGAACCCTGCCTTCTCCTGTCTTAGTGGCCCCGTGGAGCTGACCATGAGGGACAGTGAAGGAGGGGGAGCCTCACTCACCAGCCCTCCAGCTCTAGTAGCTGAGACTACAGTAGCTGAGTCCCGGCCCTGGGGGAGCATACAGGCTAATTGCACCACTACACACACTGGGGGAACAAGTAGCTGGCTTGTCTGGGTTGGCAGTTATTCCAAGCAACATGTTATCATTCTTAGTTTTTAGCAGAAACCTTGAAAGTTACAATTGCTTAGATAGTAAGAATTTAAAAATAAAAAAACGTCCTTTGCATAACCGTAAAATTTTCTCTTTATTAAAAACAGTCAGGTGTAAACATACAATCCAAAGCCAAGCACAAACTTTAGCACAAGCATCGGGTAAAAAGAGGGTACAACCACTAAGCACAACAGACATCTGTTTGAACAAGTGTGATGCTCACACCCATGTCATATCAAATACAAATGTGAAATGAAGGCTTGGAAAACAGTTCATGGACACTTGGTTTTATATTAGTACCATACAGAGAGGCAGTGAGAACATGGACATTCACCTATGCCGCCAGCCAAATGTAGACCTGGGCTGGAAACGTCGCAATGCCCTCACTACCACCTCTTCTGCTGCACAATCTGGCCAGTGTTGGGTTTTCTGAGGCAGGTTCTTTCCACACAGTTCTGGCTGGTCTTCAACTTGATCCTCCTGCCTCAGCTTCCTGAGTGCTTAGAACATAGGTGTGTGCCATCATGCTGACTCACCCAATCTACTTTAGAGTATTTTTCTTTATGAAAACAACAGAACTTCATGACAGTGATGTAAACAGTAAACAGCCCTTTCTCTCCCCCAGTGCTGAGGATGGAACTTGAGGCCTCATGAGTGCTCTCCATCTACTGAGCTACACCCTCAGCCTTGAGATAAGAAACTTTTAATCTTAAAAACAAACAGGAGATTCAGAACTCCGAGGTGTGATCTGCTCAACCCAGAACCCCATATTTGCTTGAGAGCATACAGAGTGATTGGGATGCATACCTCCTCCTTCTCTGCTGAGCTCAATTACCATGAAGGAATAGTTAGGCCTTGCTGGTGAACATCTGGCTCTACCTAAACTCATGACTAGAACCCTGACTGCATCAGCGTCTCTCCCCTCAATATAAACATGACTTTGAAGAACAGAACCCATGAACACTACCTTCTGCCTGCTACTCGGGCAGAGATGCCATGTCTGTAGGCAGCTAGAAGCAAGGCTACCTTGAGTGTAGTTCCATTTAAGGACATTTCACCTACTGTGCGCTCAGGTTGACCGGCAGACACAAAGCAGATTTAACTTCAAGAACTTTTCAGCTTCAATAGAGAACAGTTGAGGGTCTAGTAACAGGAGAGTGTGAGGCACAGTCTAAAGTGTGTGGGGGCAATGATGCTCCACAGTAACTAAAGCCAGACAATCCACTTCGTTAGACCCTGCAGGGTCGTCCTTCCAATCCAATCCAAGGGGAAGGCAAGGTTGCTCTCTACCAGGACATACCATGAATGGCTGCCAAAGCCTGCCTGTGACTCCTGAAGTCTAAAGTGAAAGAGCTTTTAGTATCTCATTGACTGTTTTTTTTTTTGGGGGGGGGGTTCCATGCTGACTTGGAGTGCACTCCATTCAGCTCAGAATAGACGGCAACACTGTGGTGTCAAAGAGCCAAAGTCAGCTCTTGTCTCTTCTAGGAAGAACTACAACATGGCTTAGCCTTTAGAAATTTTATCACTATACATTTTTCTGGCCCTAAAAAGCATCCTAATGCCGCCTCTTGAGGAAAGTAAAGCAAGAAGGGGATGACCAGAACCCGAATCTAGTTCATTTCAGGAACTGTAGCCACTCAGCAAACACAGGCCATTTAGCTGCTGCCAGGGGTGCAGGGCTCCCAGACCAGGGCCGTGTTCTACCATCTGCACCTTACCTGTTACTAACATAGCTAAGCAAATGATTAAACTTTCCCAATATAAGAGGCAGGAACAGGCAGATATTTGAGTTCAAGGCCAGCCTAGTCTACAAAGGAAGTTCCAGGACAGTCAGGACTATTGCATAGTGAGACCCTGTCTCAAAAAAACAGAACAAAACAAACAGAAAACAAAACTTTCCCAATTCAATTAACTTGCTAAGCTTGTTGCTAGGTCTAGCCTTCTTGCTAGAGCCTAGAGGGACAAGCAGGAACATGTTACATCTGACCAGACTTCGATGGTGCTCACGACAGCCTCTGGCACATCTAGTAGTAGGCAAAGACAGTTTCAAGTCTAGGGGTGAACAAATCAGGACTTCAGCATGAACACCAACTAGAATAAACTACCCATTTCATACCTACAATAACAGAAGCAAATAAGACCTGATACATAGCAAGCAGTGTTGCAGCTTGTGTGGTCTCTGTAGAGTCTGCTCCAGCCTTCTAGATGCATGGCAGCAATCGATGGCTATTATTCTTCCCATGCTAAGACAGCTACCACAGCTGCAACTGAAAGCTCCCTCAACTCCATCCCGTAGCACAGGCAGTTCAAGCTGGAAGAGGCAACTATAAGACCCTGGTGTCACTCCCAGTTTTAAACAGTTAATAACCAAATTCCCCTGTGAAAACACCTAGGGAGTCTGATCCCAAAGTGCAAGAGAAAGAAAACTCGGCATGCGTAGTTGACAGAGTGGAGACAGTTATCAGTACCATCTCCACTCCTGCCATGTTTCCATGAAGAGTGACAGTTGTAGGCTGTGCTGCAGTCATGTATAGTCTGAATTGGGTCAGTCAGGGCTCTTTCTTTGCTGCCCCTCTGGTCTGGATAGATGCTGGTCTTAGGGTCTGTCCCCAGTGTGGAGCTATTTTTTCGAGGCGGGAAGTATGGCAGGATGGCATGTGGTCTCGGCTCTCACTGTGGTACCCAAGTACCAAGACAATATTTCTGAAGTGAGGACAGAATGTCTTTCACTACGGATATAAAATCAAAGCAGGAAAGTATGTTAAAATAAAAGCAGAATGGATCATGAAGGAGCAAAGCATTTCATGTTGTATACTTTCCACTCTACTTTCTAAATACATGTAAAATTTCAGAATGTGTGTACTAAATCCAGTTCATTAGCACCAATCCCAGAAAACGTACTTTAAAAAAAAACCAAAGACTATGGTTCCAGAATGCTTTCAAGTCTGGTGAAGAGCTAGCAGTCAAACAAGTGTGTGTGTCTCCTCTGTATGCCCACAGAAAAATACCTGTATTTCAAATATTAAGGCCCTTTGGCAGGAGAGAAATTCCCAGGTTTGTCCACTTGAGCTGCACAAGCTTGCAGCAGAGCCTCAGGACCTCCAACTCCGTGTTGCCACCTCTCTCCAGAAATCCATAGGCCAACTTTCTCCCCAGATACTCAGTAAGACATCTGACTCAGTCAATGTTAAAAATACTGAAGCTTCAATTTAATACTAAAAGAAGAAAATACTTCCCCTCTATGTACCAATATCTAGGTTACACAGTTGGGGATAATGTGGGGCTGTGATTAGGAAAGGGGTACTCAATCTCTTCTGACATACTAAGGAGCTGGGTCAGGAAATCTGATGACACAGGAGATAAAAATAAATGACAATTATTAACTTCTAATAGTCATCTGATCATTTGATACATCAAGATTGACTTTATTTCTTGGCTTCAAAAATATAGTTTTAGGAAAATGTCTTTCATGTGTATGGAAACAAGTCAATGGGAAAATGAGTCTGCTGAGCAAACACCAGCCACACACAGCTTTAGACACTTTAAGATGTATTGGCACAGGAGTCACGTACCAACCAATTTGAGTCCTTTGGAGCCACAGGCAGTTCCAGACCAAAGCAAAATCTAAGTCACAGTGAGGTCCTCAGATTCTCTGGTAGAGCCCATTATGTCTCAAGGAGCAGAAGGCTTCTGCTCAAGTGCTTTAGGCAAGACACTTGAAAAGTAAGTTGTCCTCATTGGGTGAGGAGCTGAGGGTGGCTAATGTTCACCTCAAAATGACTCAAACTCTCTACATTTAGTCATTTAAAAGTTCCTGAAGATAGTGTTTGTGCTGGCGAAATGAGCTCAAGGAAGACCTCCCTGCTTCCAGTCAGAAGAGTGTATCTCCACTGTCCCGCTCCAGGTCCTCCAGCACACCTGCTCCTCAGGCTCCAGGGCACTTTCTACACCCACGTTCATGTTCCTCTATCCTCCTTACGAACACTCAGAAGACAGGAGAATCACAGAAGGGGCAAGGGCTCTGCAGCAACCTCTTAATCCAGTCAGGATCTGCAAAGGAAAGCCAGCAGCACAAGGGTCAGCCTCAGAAAAGGTGACAGGATTGGATGTGCATATACTGTAGTGCATGGCTAGGTGGCTCATGGATAAATGTGCGACTCCCAAAACTGGACCTGGGATGAGATAAAGGTCAGGGCAAAGAGGGAGCACTTCAGGAAGCCACCTGTGCAAGGCACAGTGGTGCACGCCTTTAATCCCAGCACTCAGAAGGCAGAAAGGACGATGTTTATGAATCTTAGGTCCAGTTTGGTCTACATAACAAGTTCCAGGACAGCCAGGAGTACATATAAAGAGACGCGGTCTCAAAAAAAAAAAAAAAAAAAAAAAAATCAACCAACCAAATATATCCCTTAACAAACCACAAAAAAAAAAAACTTAAAAAAGCCACAAGTGTTCAAGTTAACCAAGGACTATATTCACATGTTATTTTTTGTTTTTGAGACAGGGTCTTAACTACATAGTCCAGGCTAGACTTGACCACCCACTCACTCGATCCTCCTGCCCTTGCCTCCCTGGTGCTGGGATTATAGCTACAAGTTATTACGCCCAGTTTGTAAATTGTGAATAGTATGCTTTTGTAAAGTAACAGTAATACCAACTTTTCAGAAATGCTATCATAGCAGAAAAGTAGACAAGTAGTGACAACAGACCACTGCTGGCCTGTGAAATCTCTGCTCTATTCCAGTTCTACTCAGAACCCAGAGTCAAGGGTCGGGACTCTTGGTTTTAAACTCCTATCTTGCTGAAACATCAAGTCAACTGTAGTAACTGCTTAAGAACTCTCTAAATGTTTTAAACTAGGAACAAGGTGCAGACTCAGATGGAGAATTTTGGTCAACTAAAAGCAGATATAGAATCTAAGCTTCTGGGCTGGAGAGATGGCTCAGAGGTTAGGAGAACTGACTGCTGTTCCAGAGGCCCTGAGTTCAGTTTCCAGCAACCACATGATGACTCACACACCCATCTATAATGAGATCTGGTGCCCAGAACACTGTATACATAATAAATAAATTAATTTAAAAAAGAAAAAGAATCCAAGCTGCCAACATGTAACCTTGAGAGAATTAGCAAAAATAAGTACGGATTGAGTTTTAGATACTCTTGTTTTCTGTTCATCAAAGCATGTTTGATTCTCCAAGCCTGTCTTACTGGTTCATTTGGTTGGAGTGTAGGGTTAGTGAAGCTCACACTAACAATTGGCATTCTATGACTATTAGACACCTGATCTCTTGTTTTTTTTTAAAATATTTATTTATTTATTATGTATACAATATTCTTTCTGTGTGTATGTCTGCAGGCCAGAAGAGGGCACCAGACCTCATTACAGATGGTTGTGAGCCACCATGTGGTTGCTGGGAATTGAACTCAGGACCTTTGGAAGAGCAGGCAATGCTCTTAACCTCTGAGCCATCTCTCCAGCCCCTGATCTCTTGTTTTTAACCTTCCTTCCTTCCTTCCTTCCTTCCTTCCTTCCTTCCTTCCTTCCTTCCTT